GTGCAGGCGAAGTTTAGCTCAATTGAGGGGGCCTTTCCACAATTGTGTGCAGGCCAAGTTTAGCTCAATTGAGGGGGCCATTACTAATCACGAGCTCACATTACGGTAGGAAGCGCTCGCACGACTCCAACAGCAGCAGCCGCAGGAGAACAAAAGAGAGTGAGAGAGTGAGAGAGAGAGAGAGAGAGAGAGAGTGAGTGAGTGAGTGAGTGAGTGAGTGAGTGAGTGGCAGTGAGTGAGCGAATGAGTTGATTAAGTGATTCAGTGACAACACAGAATATTCTCATTGAGTTGCTTCATTTGCATGGCCGCGTGGCAGGAGAAGGCGGCGCTTCGATCGGCTTCGGAGCACTCCAGGATGTTGCCGGTGACAAGGACAGTGCAGGGGACAAAGAGGCACCGGAACAGGAGGACAGCAGCAGCAAATCGCGAAAAAAGAAGAAACGAAAGAGCAAAAAGGCACCGGTGCAGGAGGACGGCAGCAGTGACTCGGATGAAAAAAAGAAGAAGCGAAAGAATTTTGATGTTGAGACAGCTGTGCTTGGAGCCAGGACCATGCTGGTACAGCAGTTGTCAAAGGTGCATTCGGAGTTGCTGGAAGCGAGGGGCGGAGCGGAAGAACAGCTCGAATTGTGGAACCAGCAGCATGAGGAGCTGACAAAATCGGTTCCATTGTCGGACCTGCTGTTGAGAAGAGTGGAGGCGATTGATGCTGTTTGTGGTGGGGCCGCCACAGACATTCCCAAGTTGCATGATGTCCTCAGTGACCCGACATGGGTGGCAACTCACACAGCCGCCGAGAAAGCCTTTAAAGGGCAGCAAAAACAATGGGAAGATGCGGGGACAGCGGAGCCGTATGCGGGTTACTTTGCGAATGGACCGCTCCTGACGTGTTTCATGTCCCTGAAACACCTCCCAAGCGGTCTAACCTGCAAGAAAGATTTGGAGCAGAAGGTGAAGATGATGAAAGGCTCCATCAAGTCCCACGGCGAGCTTGTCAAAAGAACAAATGCGATCGTACAGCGAGCCCTGAAGGCTCAAAAGGATTTCACGGCGGCCCAGGAGAAGAAAGAATCCCAGGCACAGGAACAGGCGTTGAAGCAGGAGGCCAGAATATCCATTCTTATGCTAAAAAATAGATCTGCTCGGGACATTCGGCTGCACAGGCAATTAGTTAGTCCTTGCAACTTTGTAGTCATTCCATGCATGACATGTCCTGGGGGGAATTCGCAGATTACATGCTCGCTCAGTCACTCACTCACTCACTCACTCACTCGCCCTCGCTTCGAGTGAGGGAGCCAGTGAGGGAGTCAGTGAGTGAGAGAGCGAGCCAGTGTAAGCGAGTGAGTGAGTGAGCGAGTGAGCCAGTAAGCGAGTGAGTGAGTGAGCGAGTGAGCGAATGAGTGTGTCAGTGAGTGAGCCAGCGAGTGAGTGCGTGAGGGAGTGATCGAATGTGATGGAGCGAGGGAGCTGCGGTTCGATGGAGGGAGGGGGAGAGGCAGGGATGGCACATGCTAGTGAGCCGAGCTTGGGAGGGATGTGCCTAAACTTGATGCGAATGAGGCCAGCAAAAGGAAGCAAGAGCAAGCACAGAGCAAAAGGCTTCAGGCGGCTGCGGTGAAGCAGGGAGAGGTCGCCTCCATGTTTTCCATTGACTTCAGCAAACTCGGATGCCAGAAGTTCACAACCATGGCCTTTGAGAAGCTGGAGACCGCACCGATGAATTTCACGGAGCCGTTTCAGGTAAGGCTTGGTCAAAGTGGGCCGAGCTGCAAGATGCCAGCCGTGAATGAGCTGCTGCAAGTGGCAGAGATCGACAAGCACTTGAACTCCTACCGCAATGGCTTTCCAAATTCCATTGCAAGCACCCAGGGCAAGATGAAGATGAGTCATGCTGTGCAGGCAGGTGGTTGCCGGGCCGCATTGTTGCGGAGCCTAGGCGCCGAGGAGTTTGTGAGCTCAGACAACCCGCTGGCAAGCGGGTCCGCATCCAAGCAGGTGGAATGGCCGAAGGATTTGCAAGACCTCGTGCACGTGTACGGCGAAGGGGAGCGCTACACAGCGTTTGGCACGATGCCCTATGAAGCAGCAGCCGTCAAGTTTGCCGTGACAGGCCAGAGCATGGTTGTGGCGGTCTGCGCGATGGAGCTGGAGTCCTTCTTGGCGCCCAAAAAAAAGGGTAGCTCTGTGAAGCTCCAGGACATGAAGCAGTTTCTTGAGAATCTGCAGCCGCCGGAAGTTGTGGCCTTTCTGGAAGCAACAAGCAGCTGCGTGTCCCCGGCGATCGTCCACGGCATGGTCAGTGAACAAAGCTTGTTGTACCTTCCACCAGGATGGATCTGCTGCGAAAAGACCTTGAACAGCCGAGTTTGCCTTGGCCTGCGAATATCCTTCTTGCCTAAGGGCACCCAGCAGAACTACAAGATTCTCAAGAATGTGGGTTCTTTGCGGAATGCAATCATCAATGCGACGAGCCACAACAACCCGGCTGTTCAGCGTGTGGACACTTGGCTTGCCTGCCTACGTTCAGAAGTGGCCGAGGACGGGTGACAGGTGAGTGACTGAGTGAGCGGAGTGAGTGAATTGAGTGAGTGAGTGAGCGAGTGAGTGAGTGAGTGAGTGAGTACCTGCACTAGACTCCGCTTTGTTTCACGGTCCATTCAGGGTTTCACGACTCCCCACTATACTCCCCACTCCTCCCCTCCTCCCCTCCTCCCAAACCCCCACTCCCCCACTCCCCCACTCTCCCACTCCCACACTCAGGCTCCCACACTCCCACACTCCCACACTCCCACACTCCCACACTCCCACACTCCCACACTCCCACCACCCAACCCACTCACACT